AGAGTGGTTCCGGGCTCAGGCGTCAAACTCTCTGAGCAATGTTTCAGTTTTATGAACATTTGTGTCACTTAACCTCATGGACTCCATTTGCTTGTCTGAATAAGCACAGGGAATATCATTGGCCATATTTCATTGCATCAACCTTATTAGTGACAGTCTAATGCTGTATTATTTGGACCAGTCAAGGGGGAAGAGGAAAGAACTTCAATACCGTGGGTGGTTCCAAGGATCGGTGATTGTGTTTAGAGAGCATAAGGATTCTGGGGTCAACAGTCATTGTAACTGGATTCTAGGAGGATCCTCAAAGCACTCCACCATTCAGAAGTATCGGAAATGGTTGTGGTACAGAAACACAATGGTCATTTGTGCAGCAAGGCAGGCTGGCCTTATGCAATTCTCAGTCTTAGCAGTTCTATTTCAAATCAATTAAGTACATTCATGATTCTTTCTCTATCTCTGTCTCTATTTCTGCCTGACTCTGTGTCTCTTTGTCATCATAATCCTGTCTCTGTCTCTATCCCTCTCTCACTGTTCTGTGGCTTTGTGACAGCATCTTCTGATTCTCTGACACGCAAATGCAAGGGGTTCATGAACATGGCTGAGTTGGATTTTCCCGTCCTCTTCTTCTTAGCAGCCCGGGAACATGACAGGTATCTCAATGTAAGTTTCCTCCTCTTTACAATGGAAACAGTAATACTGATCAAGTTGAGATGCCATTGAGGTGGAGTGAAACACTACTACACACATGGAAATCGGCTCCTGGCCCATAACACCTGCTTAATAAATTCTCATTGCTTCTCGTAGCTCCTCTGATAGATTAGAGCCCCACCAACCTGATGGCTGGCTTCTACTGTGGCCTGCCCTCAGCCCATTTTCCGATCAGCCAATGGAGCCATGACTGGACAGACCCATTTTTCATCCAATTGGTCTCTTTCCAGCAGTTTCCTATGGCCTCTTGCTGTAAATCACTCTGAGAAAATAAATGTCCCCAATCCATTAGTGCCTTTCCACCACAAGACAATTTGAGCCACAAATGAGACAAGGCTTGTTAATGGCCACTTAAATACATTCCTGCAGCCCAAGCTGAAGACCCTCAGCCAACCTCCAATCCTATCAGCTCCTGTGTAAGAGAAACTCCCTCCTCTGTGACCAGACTTACAGCAACAAGAGCACAGATATGACCCTCCTCAGTTCGGGGGAACCCCACACCCTGGTTCACCAAGGACAGTTCCAGTTTGCTGCTGCTAGTCCAGAGTAATCAGCAGTGCCCTTTTCACTTGAAAAAGAGTTCCAGTCTGAATGACAGACTATATAGGGTTTCTATGACAACCAAGAACAATAGTAAAGATAATGGCCACTGTCATTTATTAACCACTTTCTATGTGCCTGGCATCATCAGAAAGGTCTTACATGCTATACCTCATTAAACTTCATTACAATACTAAGAAAGAAGACACTATTGTTATCTCCATTTTATAAGGCAGGAAACTTAATTTAGAGGAATTAGGCAACATTGCCAATGTCAACTAGAAAGCATGGTTGTGCCCTTCGCAGTCCCTTCTAGAACTGGTGTGCCCATTGTTTCCCCTCCTCACTTCTTGGGAATGGTGGCTCCTCATAGCTCAGAGCCACCAGATTTTCTAGAGACCTGCACCCAGGCAAACAAAACCATCTCTGCTTGAGAGATTCTGTGCCCCCTCAGGAAGAGCCCCCTGCCCCAAAATGTTTTGGAACTGATCGTGCCTGTGCAGGGTATAGCGGTAGCTGCTGAGGCCACATCATGAACTTGCTTGGTTCTCCCCTCTGCCTCACTTGCTTCTATTATTCCCATTGTCCTGAAAGCAGTCCTGCAACAAACCACTTGAAAAAAGGATTCCTGCATCAGGCTCTGCCTCCAAGAAGTCAGATCTGCGACAGTCAGTTAGCAAGTGGTCAAGCTGGGACTCTTGCCTAGGAAATGTGACCCCTAGCCACTAAGCAATTGTGACACAATATTGCCTACAGAGCCATGACCCCCATGGTCACACAGACAGGAAGGAAGAAGGCTAAATCTTACACTGGCTCGTCTTGCTTCAAAGGCCATATGCGCTTTCCATTTGGCCACTCTAACTTCTTGCTGTGTAAGCTGTTCAATGCACAACTGGTAAGGCAGGTCCCACCAAGCTGGCATTCTTTATGCAAGGAGCTCTACTAGCCTCTCCTCCTCTACTCTGAGCAGTTGTTCTTTTTGTGCTGCATTTAACCACATGCTTCTACTTTCCAGAGAAAGCTATCTTACTCTGGGAACAACCAAAAAAAAAAAAAAATTCCCTTACGCCACACATAAAAAGAGCAAAGGATCTATATTATTGAAGAATGAAAGAAAAACCATGCCTGCCAAAGGTCCAGAGAGGAGAACTGTATTTCTTATGACTTTTGACCAAGGAAAACAAAATGGAATGAAAAGAAAATAGCAGAGCTTTTAGAAGGGGCAGACTCAAATCCTCGCTCTACTATTTATAGGAAATTCCTGGCAAATAACGGCCCCAGGCCTCTGTTTGTTCTCCTGTATTTCGGCAAAGATTCCATCTCATCATCTCTTGAATGAGAGGGTAAGTGAGATAAAATATGTATTTCTTTCAGTCGCTTCTCTTCCATTTCCATACAATTTATACAGCAATCCAGTTTGGGTTCTCATTATAGGGCTAGTACCGGTTCAGATGAGGTATGCTTTAGTTCCATGCACAAAGCATACCTATTTGATGATAAAAGGTTTCCATTAAAAATAAAGATCAGATTAAAGGCAGATCTTCATCCATGAGGCCATTCGGTGATTCATAAAAATACAGAATGAGTCATCCTGGATCTCAAGGCTAAAACTTAACAATCAGTGAACAGCTCTGGCCAGCCAATCCCAGCCCGTTGGAGGAAAAAGGGCCCAGAGGGCCATCTTCACGTGCTAGTCCAAATCCTCCCTTGGAAAACTGATTAACTCTATTTCCAGCTTTGCAAAAAGAAAATCAATGGACGCTCTTTGTAATACTGTGTCTTATTCTGCATGGCTTTCTAAACAAATAGGGTGGAGGATACTGCTTTTACTCTGTGTGTGTGTGTGTGTGTGTGTGTGTGTGTGTGTGTGTGCGTGTGCCTGCATGTGCACTGCTCCACTGAACAGAGTTGTGTGTCTGACTTTGAAAATAAATCTCTTAGCCTTCACCTTGACAGCTATTATTTCAGACTGCTTCTGTTCCTATAAGCATTTATGCAGTTACTGTCGCATAAAGCTCTTGAATGCACAGGTTGGAGAATACAGACTGATTTGTACTATAAAAGAGGCTCTTAAAATAATAGCTACATTTTATTTTCTGAATATAGTCTCTGACTTAAGACTCCTAGAACCCAATCCTCAGTTTGGAAGATGGATCATAAATTTATACACACACACACACACACATATATATTCATATTATATTATATTTAAATATAAGCATTTTTTGATTTTTTAAGCAAATCATCAGTTATCAGCACATAGTTTTAATTGCACTAGGCAGAAGCACTTCTACCTGTAAGAGAAATGGCTCAACACTCTCCCTCCAAGTTCTTTTCTCAATCTATTTACCCAGAAATAACTACTTCAGGAAACCCCGTGTGCCAAGCAGTGCCCTAGGAATCGGGTTTATGGGTGAAAGAAGTAGAGAGACACTCTGCCTTCCAAGTTCAATCAGCTTGGTTTAGTAAGAGTTAAAAAGACTCGCACTGGACCCTCCAGTTTGCAAAAGCCTGAGTTCCCCAGAAAGGCTTCAGGGTGGGTGACCAGCTGTGACTAGGGGGGGAGAACCCTAGATCTGTGCCTTTAGCTCCCACTACTGTGTGCTCCGATCTTGCCAGGAAACCTTTTTGCTTCTAAGGTGGCAAAGGCAGGGGCCCTCCTTGGCCGTTTTTCTTGCCTCTAGCTCAGGTCTGGATTCTGGGCTTCTCATCTAACTCAGGAACCTGTGAGCTGACTGCTGCTGCTCTAGGCAACTCTCTCTCTCTCTCTCTCTCTCTCTCTCTCTCTCTCTCTCTCTCTCTCTGTTGGTTTTTGACAACCAGACGAGAAGGGGCTCAGCTCATCTCTCTGAGGAAACAGCCAGTTATCCTTGCAAGCTTCCAAGGTTGCTCCACAGTTTTGGGTCCTGGTCAGCCTGCCCCAGAACTGTGGGGCAATGTTCCTGTAGCCCACACTCAGGGAGAGGCTTGCAATCTGGGGAATCCCAGTCGGTCGTGGGTCTGGAGACACTTCCCCAGGAGGAATGGACTACAGAGCCTCTGAAGGGACAGGCTGCTCCTGAGATGGGAGCAGGAGTCGCACCTTCACCAGGAAAGAAACCGGATGGAGGAGGGAGAAGGACGGGATTAGATCCTCCCAGGTCTCAGTTCCTTTCCCCATGCCAGGCTCCGGCCAGGGACATCTACAGGAGGTGGCCCAGCCCTGTGCTCTGTCCGCAGCCCTATGGGCAGAGCAGCACAGAGGTTAAAAAGACCAGGTGTCAAATCCCGACCAGGCCAGTTAGTGGCAGCTGAGTGACCCTGGACCAATCTCTCACTCTCTGAACAGAGGGTTTTCTCACCTGTAACGGTGCAGAAAGATGACCCTAACCGGGCCCCAGGAAGTACAAAACAAGATTGCACACGTAAAACTTCTCAGAGGGCAGCTGGCACACACTTAGTCTACAGCTACGCGTACGTTCAGCCACCTTAAGCATCAAAGCCCCGGACCGGCTTCTGAGCCACCCTTCGGGATGCAGAACTCCAGCAAGACCAGCGCGCCGGCCAGGTGCCACCATTCTGCGGGTCACCCTACAGCGGGCTCGGGGAGGGCGAGGGTCCCCTCTGAACACCCTCCCCAGGGTGGGCTGCCTCGGGAATCGGTTCGGAGTGGGGGCCGTACCCGGGCAACGTCCCTGCCCAGTACCTCCCATTCCATCCCTTCCCGGAGCGCTGAGCGCAGAGAGAAAGCGAGAAAGGCGCGGATACTGGACCAGGCTTTGACGCGGATCTTGAGCTCGCCGTCCTGCGGCTCGGGCATGGCCCTCCGGGTGAGTCGCAGCTTGTTGAGTCCCCCGAAGCCAGCCAGCACCACGGCGCGCATCTCCTGGGCATCCCCGAGGCGGTGCGAGCCGTCGCTGCCGCCGCCCTCCGCGGGCTCCTTGATCGCTTCCTTCTCGATCATTTGCTCCGTCTCCTCCGCCTTCTCCACGCCTTCCTTGGCCATGGCGCGCGGGCGGCGGGGCGCACGGGCTGAGGCGGCAGCGGCGGCAGCGGGGCGCAGCGGGCGCGGGGCTTGGGTCCTGCGCGCGGGCTCCTCCTGTTGAATGCGGGCGCTCAGAGGCGCAATGGCTGCAGCCGGGCGAGCGGCGCCACGATCCCAGCCCCCGCCGTAATCCTCGCAGGAGCCGCGCCCACTCGCCCCGCCCAGCGCCCACCGCTCCCCACTCTGGCCCAAACAGAGTCTCGGCTTTGGTTTCCGAACGAGTCTCGAAAGAGGCTGCGGATCGCCGCCCTAAGACCGAATTGCCCAAGATTTGTGCCTGAAACGCGCCTAGAGCAGCCCCCTCGGCCTCCCCGGTGGGGGCCGCAGTACTTGGTTATATACGGCTCAGGCTCGGGCGCCTGGAAAAGCACAGAGATGAACGTCTAGGCCTGGAGGATGCCTTCGCCAGACGAGGTCGCCTGCCCTCCCTCGGAGCTGCGGGGACTGGCGGAGAGCCGGGAGGCCCGGTTGCTTCCCAGGCCGCGGGTTCTGCGTGAAGGACGGGAAGCTATGAGAGACGCGAAAGTAGAGCAACCTCATCACCGTCTGAAGATTCCAATCCAGAATCTTTTCACTCCGGACACGCAGGGTCCTCCGAAGGCTCTTCCTGGGCTCCTGCAAGGGCTGCCAGGAGTGACTGATTGTCTGCACCAGAGCCCATAAAGAGGCTCCAGAAAAGAATTCGGCACCAGACCTGTATACACCCTTGTTCCAGTTCCCCAAGAGCAGCAGACAGCCCCCCCGCCACCAGCGCGCCGGCACGCACGGAGTAGTAGCTGGTGTTTCGTTCTGTTTGTTGATGCTGGCCCCCTTGAAAAGGGGGCTCATAGAAAACTTCTATTTTCTTAAGACTATAACCAACTAAAAGGATGGGTGGAGGTGGTTTGGCTTGTAGCAGTTTACGGAAGGAGACGAAATGGAATGACAAATAGTAGATACGTAGGCCAGTTGCTGTGCAGTCCCCAAGCGTAGCATCTTGCCTCTCATTCCCGTTCTTCAGCCTGAATACTCTCCTCTTCAAAATGGGTACACTAATTTTGTTATCTGCATGTGCCAGGCGCTGGGGTGGCTATTACAGGGCGGCCTGGTTTTTGCCTATGAGGAGTGGAATCTCTCCGCAAGAGGAAAAGAGGCAGGGTCTGTAAAATCTGTCAGTTTGTCTTCTATGTGCTTATTTGATATGTTATTTGATTTCCACCCAGCTGTCAATTTCTCATGGGCGGGAGCTAGCTAGTCTGCTTATATCTGGGATGGTCTTCCAGGCGATCAGCACATGAGTTAGATTTAGTAGATTATGCCCAGAAAGTGCTTTTTAAATGAACAATTTTGAGTCACTAAATGTAGATGCCCCTGTGGGAGCCCAGAGGAAGGAACTGTTAATTTTTCCAAGGAGTTGGTGAGGTCTTTGGGGAATGCAGACATTTGAGCCTCGTCTCCAAGGGTGAGGCAGGGTCTGCAGGCAGAGAGGGTCACAAGCACACTGAAGCACACAGAATGGTGACAGGTGATGATCTTGGGGACAGAGCACTGAATGTGTTCAGCAGTCCTTGGAGGGAGGCTGAAGGACCGGTTGGAACCAGATTTGAAGGGTCTCTTGTGCCATGGTATAAAATTTAAGACACAATCAGGGAGGAAATAGACACCCTTAAAGCCCTGAGAAACAAAAGCGAAGGGCTAGTGCTGCCTAGAGCTGGGCATTAGAATAATAACACTGGCAGTGAGTGGGGGACAGATTGGAGGGTGGGTTACTGGAAGTAGGTCCTGAGGCTGGGGCAGGAGGTGAAGGGAGGTTGCGCTTCATTAGTGAGCTGAACATTTTATTGTAAACCTAATTTTCCAAATTACAAACCTTGTCTCCATTGTAAGAGATAATGTTTTGGCTGGATTCTCTCCTGAAACAAGAATCTGAGTGCCAGTGGTTTGTTTTGGAGGTAATCCCAGGAAACCTTGGTAGAGAAGTAGAAAATGAGATGGGGAAGCGATAGAAGCCAACACAGAATGCACTGAGTGAGCAGGTTGCCATAGTGCATGGATGGGGCTCAGACCACAGGGGAACTTTTAAGAGACGGTGTAGAGTAAGGCTCAGAGTTGTCCTGCCTAAGGAGAAAGGAAATAGGTATCTATTCACTAAATTCTAGACATGATTAACCAAGAGCTATTCCTGGAAGTGTTAGCGCCCTGGCATTTCCATCTTTTCCCAGCTACCTGGGCAGAGATCCCTGGGCGGATCGGATGTTTACCAGTCATTAGTACATGAGGTGAGTCCCATGAAGACCTGGCTTTGGTACTGATAACACCTACAATATATGTTCTGTCTGGGGCATATCCACTGCTGAAGACACAATAGTATGTTGGGTAGTTTGATTATCAGGATAGCTTTATGAGACAAGAAACACTATTTTCTCCTTGTAGGGAAGAAACTGAGCCTTCACACTGGGTTGTCATGCTCAACGGACACACTAGGTCCTTTGGCTATGATGAGAAGAGGTACAGAACTGCTCCATTCACACTCCTCACATTGCCCCGTGCATGCTGACGCAGATGAGCAAACAAGCTCTGCTCCTGCCTGGTGGAATTTGGAGGTTGTCATCTGGTCCTCTCTTGGCCTTCTGAATATCTCTATTCCACCGAGTCTCCATGGCTTGGTTCTGAGTGTTTTCCTTCAGCATTAGTAGGATAAATCTACTTTGCAGTCAGCACACAGCATATTTAAGAGAAAGTGTTTGTCTTATATGTGTGTTAAAGGGAATATAATTATTCTCTCCAAGGGAATCTGCTGGCTGTTTACAAACCTGGGATTTTAAATGGAAGGCAGTTGATCACAGCACCTCGGAGGCAACACACCACTGTCTGAGCTACCAGGGGAAGCATCCTCTCCTCCGAGTCTCATATAATACTGCTGTTAAGTATTCCCAGCTCTGCTCCTCTCCAGTGGAAAGTGGAAAGAGCCATTCGGTAGGGAGCATCTCCAAAGAAACAAGGCCGATTAATTTTGATTTATAGAACTGGTTCCTTTGGGCACACACTCAGAGCCTCAGTGGTGAAATGTCTTACATTATGGGGTGATGTCAAACACTGGCCACGGATGGGGAAACGTGGCATTATGTGTGTGTGTGTGTGTGTGTGTGTGTGTGTGTGTATAAGACAGAGGTGGGAGGTGGGAGTGTAGAAAGGTAAATTTAGGGACACTTCAGATGGAATATCACACGACACAATGGGGTCTTTGAGTGAGAAAATAAGGAAAATTAAGTTAGTCTGATTGATTTTCTAAACAATTTGGAGTGGATCAGGAATTCATTAGAAAAATATACCTCTCTGATGGTCAAGGTCTTCAACAATATTTTTAATAGCAATGCAAATATACTTTAATTAACACATCATTGCACTATCTCTAAGACAGAATTATGTCCTACAAGCATCATAATATTTCATCTTTCAAATAACTTTGTATCATAGGAACTATTATTCTTATTTTTAAGCAGAAAAAAATGTAATAGAAACTGAGTAACTTTCTAAAGATCACCTACTTAGTGGAATTGGAATGTGAAGTAGGGAGTGTTTGAATCTGTCATATGGATTCTTAACCATTTTACTGTAATGTCTGCAGTTTTATATTTTGCTCTATCTTTCATGTCATCTAGTAGACCAAGAAGAAGGAGACAAATTTAGAAGGTCAATAATGGAAAAAGGTAAAAGATTCTGCCCCCAAAATAGCATAGTAAAATCCAAGAGCATATATTAAAAGATGTGTGCCATAATTCTATACCTTGTGCTGATGGCATTTAAAAGACAGTGGAACACAACCATCGCGGACACCACATTACTCTTCGTAGGAGAGCTGGAGAGGTACGAAGGTAGTGCATTAAATCTCCTAGCTGTATCGCATCGTATCAGTCCTAAGAAGTAAGTTCTAATAGTGTCACCGGTGAGGAGGATAGTGATTTGATACTTTTCTTCATTTTTCTAGTGTTGGCCTTGCATTATTGTTCAGTACTGGAGATAAACATGGCAGAGAAGACAACTACATTCTCAATTCCTAGAGGAACTAATAGTCTAGTCAAGGAGACAGACAGTGGTAACTCAGTTTACAAACCCAATCCTCTCCACAATTCTGGTTGCAAATTGAACTGAACAAGAACAGAATTAAATTTTCTGGTAAGGTAAATGTTGACCCTAACCATGGAATTTGGTTCAGTTCTTGTCCAAATCATCTTGTGACAAGAATCGGGAAAAGAATCAAGTTCCTGAACCAAGGAGATACCACTGTACATTGGTTTAGGTTAGGTTTCCCAGAAGTAAACTATTCTTACTTCAATGGATTGAATCTTAGTGAGTTACTTGGAAGATGAACCTACACAGTCCTAGTAGAAGTTCATGGAAATGAGATATAGAAGGAAAAGAGGTCAATATAATACTACAAGTGATCGTTGTATAAATCCGGTTCAATCCTGCTAGAGAAGTCTAGGAGACGGTCTACAAGTGATAGCAAACCATGTATAACTTCAATGATACAAACAGCCCACTGTGGGTTGCGTGGCATAGGTTCACTGCCACTGGAATCTAGGCCATAACTTGAATGAAAAGAAGTAGACACCAACCCCTACTCTTGGTTGAGGGTTGTTTGCAGGGGGTACTAGCAATCATTCACTTCTGGCTGGCCCCTACATATGGGCTGTTCAGGGCAAGCGTTTTTTTGTTTTGTTTTGTTTTGTTTTGTTTTTTGTTTTTTCCAAAAAACTTGCTGGTTTTTGCAGCTGCAAGCTGTATGGCATATTGTGGACTCCAAGAGAGTGACAGTGGGACTTTGATGGTCTCTGCTGCAGATACTAAAACAAAAAAAAGCACATGAGAAACTAATCATTCAACAGTTTGCTAAGTGCTTTAAAAGGTAATACACACTGCACTGTGTGGAAAGTCAGAGAAGGTTTCACTATGAAAGTGGCAGGAAAACCATTGGATGCAACTATGAGTAACACAAGGATGAACAAGTGGCTTAAAGAAGTTAAGGCGGGGAAGTTGTGGCGTTCCCACAAATTTACAGATGGCAGTGCTCCTTCGAG